GAGAGAGAGAGAGAGAGAGAGAGAGAGAGAGAGAGAGAGAGAGAGAGAGAGAGAGAGAGAGAGAGAGAGAGAGAGAGAAAGAGAGAGAGAGAATAAGATATCTGCCGATCGATCACAAGCTGGTAGAAGATGACGCGGGAGCTGAAACCCACGCGGATGTTGTTAGTAGTTGGGAGGTGAGATGGACGATCAGAGGGACGGGGAGTGGGGGGAGGGAGGGGGAAAGGGTGAGGGAAGGTAGGAGGGGAGGGTTACAGGGGTGGCGAATGGTTGTGAACTGTTATGGGTGTCATCTTTTCGTTTCGTTTCGTTTCGTTACGTTTCGCTCTTTGGGGCTCCGTTCCACCCCCTCCCCCCCCCAATCACCTTTTGTGGTCGCAAGCCTTGTCACTTTACTTCTTCTTTCCTTTCAATATTTCAGGATTTTTTAATTTTATTTGTTTTTGGAAAAAAAGGCGACGGCCTTGGAATATGATCATCCTACTGACCTGCCCCCCTTGGTCATTGAGGATTGTAGTATTTCACTCATCTGCTTCTAATGGAGTTCGGACTCAGATATGCATTTCAACAATTTTCGTTCAGGGGTGTACCAACTGTATTTCAACATTCTATTTATTTATTTATTTTTTAACTAGGCTACCAGCCGGACCGCCCGGGTCACGGGTGCAAGGACCAGGGAAGGTCCCAGCAAAAAAAAAAAAATCGAAAAAAAAAAGAAAAACCGAAAAGAAATTAAAAAAACTATGTTATGCAGAAAAATAAACTGAACAACTTTTGCCTCAGGGTCATATCGAAATGCTGCACCAAATTTAGAAGAAATAAATAAAATTTTAAATTAACGTTTTTATTTTTATTTTTTTAATTGTTTTTGGCCCTGCCGGGCAAGTGACCCCGGGCCACTCTGGTAGCCTAGTTTTTTAACAATTATTTCAACATTTTTCAGGGATGTACCAACTGTATTTCAACAATTTTCGGGAGTGTTCAGTATTTCAGATCTGTATTTCAACAATTTTCAGGGGTGTACCAAATGTATTTCAGGATTTCTTCTTCCTTGTCAATATTTCTTCTTCCTTGTCGTCAATATTTCTTCTTCCTTGTCAATATTTCGTCTTCCTTGTCAATATTTCTTCTTGCTTGGCAATATTTTCAATATTTGAATTGGACAGGTCAGCAACACCTTCCCACTCTTTCGACGTCCACGTTTCAGTCAGAAAAATGAAAAATAGCAGATACACACCCTTATAAAAAAGGAAGAGAAAAGCAACAGACACACACCCCTAAGTCGAAAAATAAAAAGCAGCAGAGACACACCCTAAACAAATGAAAAATATAAAAGCAGCAGAGACGACACTCTCTCAATAGGACAAAAGAAAAAACGCAGCAGAGAAATTCCACATGGAAAAATAAAACGCAGCAGACAGCAAGACTCCCGTATTCATTCATTTGGGAATTGGCCTCCGGTTCGGCCGGGGCCGTAAGCTAAACTGACTGATGCTGTCAGGAAGGATAACTCCGAGTTGAATTGTGAGGTCCCCGGCCTCGATTCCTTTTGTTGATGAGAATATAATGCACTTTTTTTATTAAAAAAAAAAAAAAAGACTCCCGTATTCAAGTCAGGTCCTTCCGGAAGACATCCATTAAAAAAATTGGAACGGTACAGAGAATGAAGATTAGCAGATGGCCCCTGCGCATTCAAGGATGACATGCGTAAATCGAGAAATGGTCCAAATAAAATTAAAAAAGAGAAAAAAAAAAGAAGAAAAATCAAGTCAGGGCTTGGGAATTGTTTCGAGAGGGGAGTTTTTCCCTCCCTTCCATTTTCGCCTTGAAGTGCCGCTGCTGCCCTTCTTCCGTGCTTTTTGTTTCCCCCCCCCCCCTTCCTACCTTTTCTTGGGGGGCTTAACTTGCATCGGTACAGAGAAGAGAAGAAAAGCGTGGCTCTTGCTTCAAGGTGGTTGCTTGGGCCAAAATAATATGAGTATTATTGGGGCTGTTTGTGTCGGATTATACTTTATATCATTATATTAGTATATATATCGTCAAATAGAACTGCCCGGTAAACCGTAGGCAGAGAGGGAGAAGAGGACAACAAACGAGGGGCTGTGACAAACTGTTTCGTCGGAGTTTCACCGACTCATCATATATATATATATTTGTCAACCCTTGTCAAGTATCATGCTATTTAATAGTGATAGCTTAAATAACATGTATTATTGTTCTCCTTGCGTTTCAATCTTCATGGATGTTTGCGATGAACTGTTTTTCTCTCTGCCTTGAATACTCGTCGTTCTGGAGCCATCTTGTCCAACACGCGCGCTTTTCGTTGTTTCCCTCGAGGTACTGAAAAATTGAGGCGCAACGAACTTTCTGTCCTGAATAACTCGTCGTTCTGGAGCAGAGGAGAGAGGCGGAGGAGCCTAGCAATTGTTCTGCGATGCATTTCGACATTACAACACACACACACACACACACACACACACACACACACACACACACACACACACACAGAGAGAGAGAGAGAGAGAGAGAGAGAGAGAGAGAGAGNAGAGAGAGAGAGAGAGAGAGAGAGAGAGAGAGAGAGAGAGAGAGAGAGAGAGAGAGATCCTCTTTCTCAGCCAGCGTTGTCAGAGCGCGCACGCGCGTGAGAGTGTGTGTGTGTGTGTGTGTGTGTGTGTGTGTGGAGAGAGAGAGAGAGAGAGAGAGAGAGAGAGAGAGAGAGAGAGAGAGAGAGAGAGATGTTTGCAAGCTTTGTTGACTGCACAAGACGAAAATATGGATGGCGCCCGTTGTGCTTTTCAACGAAAGCCGTGGCAATGATGACAGGTAGCGTCTTCGCCCTAATAGAACAGACAGTGCTTATCGCTATTTTCGGGGAAACTTCCAGTCTAGATAGAGTCGTAATAAAGGCACTCTGTCGTGATCCTCCTACTGCTGTTCTTCTTCTTCCTCAAAGCCCTAGCACGATTTGCTAAGGGCACCAGCGTTCTCAAGGAGGCCTGGATGAGGCTACTTGAGTACCTGGTACAGGTGGATAAGAGAGCGCGTCGGGGAAACCCTCTGGGGGAATGCAATTTTTTAATCTGGCACCGCACTTACGGATTATGCCAGACCGTAGTGCGCGATAGTGTCGGATTACCGGAGTAACCCAAATATAAGCCGTAAGCGGATTACCGGAGTAACCCAAATATAAGCGGATTACCGGAGTAACCCAAATATAAGCCGTAATTAAACGGCGTGGTAGCGTATATCTTTTTTGGCGGTTTTGTAGCCTGGGAATTAACGGATTTTGCACCTTTTATGCGCATTTATTTTTGCATTTATTTTCTGCCTAGGAATTACGTTGCACCGCCACGGTAGCCCCACCACTGCCAGGAAGGTACTACCCGTACGTTCTCGAATTTTTTAGGAGCATCTGTAATTATTTTCGTTTTTACCCTAGGAATTACGTGGCAATGCCACGGTAGTCCCGATGCCAGAAAGGCAGCCCAGGTATGGTACTACCGGACTATCCGCACATTTCGGAAAGAGCGGGAAATACGGACTTCGGAGTTTTGAAATTGTACAGGTCATGTCGGATTTTGAAAGTACAGGTCACGCGCGTACACACGTGTAACTGACTGGACCGAGGTGCCACGTACCAAGTTTGTAGGTGGGGATCCGCGACGCACGGATTAGTCCAATGGGAATTAGAACGGAGAAAGGAGTGGGGCAATGGGAGCTCGTTGATAAGCGAAAGGAAGATTGAAGGAGGTGTTTGATCGTTGGAAAGAAACGTTAGTCAGTACACAGTACCCCGACACGTGAACATGCGGGGAAAGCTAGCCTGCAGGCCCAGTCGTCGCGCCGACAATTCAGACACGTAACGGACACTATAGCGTTCGGTGCAACGTCTAGGTGGCAGTCTAGCCGTAGCTGTAGTAGCTCGTGGAAGTGCCCGTTAGGGGCGGAAGTGTCGTGCTGATGAAGCGTCCTACTTGGCATTCATTATATAGGAGGGCAAGGCCTGATCGGCCCTCAGTTCTCAAAAGGTAGGGAGGTGTGATCGGTGGGCTGCAAGGCGAGGGTGTGTGGAAAGCCCCCTGAGGAAGATCGGAGCGCAACCGATCGAAACGCGTCAGGGATTGTGCGCATTAGCTGAGATGAGTATGAGCGGAATTGTAACGAAGAGTTTTCAATGCGTGTACGAAAGGCAGTTGGCCACTGCTTACCACTATTTTGTGCAGCATAGTAACCGGATGAGGGGAGACACTCACACTGGTGGCTATGTCAACGAGGAGTATCTGAGTATCTGAAGATCTAGTCGAATGTACGACGTTACAAGAAGACAGTAGCAGGCAGCTTCTAGCATTAGCCGTCATCTGCGATCGTGGAAGGGCGAACACCGAGAACTGTGCGAGAGGATTAGTGAGGGAAGGACAAGAGCACGGCTAGCAGAATGGCGTCCGCGGGGAATGGAGGAACTGGAGCAGGGAGTTCGACCATCTGCTTCAACTGCAACCAAGCTGGCCATATAGCGAGAGATTGTCCGTTGAAAGGACAAGGTGCGTTTGCGAACAACACAAAGTATTGGCAATCAAGGAAAGAGAATGAGGACAGCAGAAACCGTGTTGTCAGGTGGGCTGACTACAAGATGCAGAAAGAAATGGAGAAAGAGGAAAATAAGAAGATGGAGGAGGAAAGGAGAAAGGCAGAATCCGAACGAAGAAGACAGCAATTAGACGAAGAAAGGCGCGAAGAGAAGATCCGGAGGATGATTGCGGAATCCGAGCGAAGAATGGTAGAGGAATGCGACAGAAGAGACAGAAAGTTGGAAGAGGCGGAGCTACGTATGGTAGCGGCAATGACAAGGGATTTGCGGAACTTCAGAGCGGAGATAAAGACTGAGATCCAGATGACGCTAGCAGTAAACTCCAAGACCACAAAACGAGACCGTGATGGGCTAATAGGCGGGTTGGATGTGTACCTGATGGAGGAGGAAGTGCTGACAAACGATGGTTTGAAGCTACCGCCAAAGCGAGCGAGAGGGAAGCGGATTGCGAAGAACTTCGGAGCCTTAGACGAGTGGGAAGAGTAGGCAAGGGTCATGTCAAGAGCAGATTACGAAAAGAGTTTGAGAAGGAAGGCCTGTATGCCGGCAAGGACCACAGTTGTTGGAAAGGAGTCCCCGGCATCTACTAGCAGCAAGGGGAATATTGTGCAAAGAGCCCTGGAGACTAGAGCGAAGCTCATGGCAAGAGAGTGGCGGAAAATCAAGAAACTATGTGAGGCGAGAGACATTACCTATGTTTCCAAGGAGCAAGGGGTTCGGGAATTGTTGAATAGAGCTGCGTGGAGCGATGACGATGAGCTCTTCAATGAAACATGGGAGCAAGAAGATATCCAGGACCAATGACGGTTTGTGCCCCTGGTTAAGCTCATCTGGGCTTACATTGTCATCCTTCTATGTGCGACAGTTCCTTCCGTTTGAACGACATTTCCAGGAGCTGCCGCAGGTTGCCTTTCCCTCTATCCCTTGAGTTTTGTGTAATGACGATAGGGGCAATCCAAAAATTACCCCCTTCTTCAAAACAGGCTTTAGCTTGGGATACTGCTAACTTGCCTACCTGCGTCACAACAATCGAGGTACCGAACAACTTTTTTACTAACGACCAGTCCTCACCTCAGATTTTCCCTCCCTCACTACTGATCTGAATCTGCTTCTTCCCGACCTTATAAGCCGAGTCGAGGACCATTCTTAGACTAGTATTAGCCAGCATACTATTATTCGTCCGAAATACAATTATGCGTGTCCGATTCTCTACTTCCTTTTCTTTATAGCTGTGCGGGTACTTTTAGGGAGAAGGAAAAGAGGAGACAAATTAAGGATTTCCTGGGTAGGGCAATAGGAAAAAAACCAGTGTAAATATTTGGAGGAGGATCACAATACGGGTCAAGTATGGTAGACGAGTGAAGAAGAGAGGCATCAGGGATGTTCTCATCTCAAATATCGAGAGCTGTGACTTGCATCTTGTGATTGCAGGGGTGTTCAAATGGAAGGCGAGGGTTGTCTGGAGAAGAAACAGGAATGTGGCGGAGATCCTGTGTAACTACAAGCAGCTGAGGTCCAAAGTTCCGGTCTCGTCCAAGGTTCCGGTCTCGTTCAAGTCCTGTCCCAAAGGCCCGTTTCAATGTGTCCCAAAAAACCACTCCGTCAGACGCCCTGAAGGCTCGCGACGATGTCCCAAAGTCTTTGTAACGAGCGTGAGGCTGAGGGTGAGCCAACGGAGAGGAGAGAGAGGGAGAGAGGGAGAGCACACACACACACTCACTCACTCGACACGACGGACTCGGACTGAGGATCGGACGCAGTCACAGTGGCAAGGCACAAAGTCGAAGTCTTGGATTCCGAATGCCGAAACAGCAAGTCACACCGAGTACATCAGCAGAGAAGTGGTACGAGACTGGTCCGTACCGTACGGGGAGCCGGTATAAGTACCGGTGACACCTACGGCACCAGGGGCATTTCTGCAAAGGCCCCGAGGGCAGAACTGAAAAATGCAGTATTTGAAAGTGGCGCCCGAATTGCAGCATGGCGCCAATTGTCCAAAATCCTATGGTACCAAAGGAGGGGTTTGGAAAAAGGGTGCCAGGCCGAGAACGGGATGCAGCCAAAACAGCAAAAGATAGACCAGGGATYGAGCCCTGGCGAAGTCCGTAACACTATCCCCTCCCTCTAGAAGGCAACGTCCCGGCTGCCAAAAATCATGAAGCAATGTTGAAATCCGTGAAGGACGGGACGGGGCCGATCACTGGTTAACAAGTCGAAAGGGAAGAGGGGTATGATGTGGGTGGCATGGGCTGCGGGAGTAAGAGGGAACAGGGTTTGGAACCGGTGAACAGAGTTGTCCTACTGATGAACTAGGGGGGGTTGCAAGGAACAGGGTACTCCTACAAATGAACTAAAGGGAAGATAGGGAGCAGGGTGGTCCTACTGATGAACTAAGGGGGCTCATGGTTCGCTACAAGTTAAGGGGTAACAGAGTTCAGGGCACGGGGAACTTCTATTGATGTTCTACTGGGTAAGGGAAACAGTGTTCAGGAAAACAGGGTATTTCTATTGATGTTGTAGTGGGTAAGGGAAACAATGGTCAGGGGAACAAGGGATGTCTACTGATGGTCTAGTGGGTACGGGGAACAATGGTTAGGGAAACAGGGATCTGCTAATGATGTTCTACAGGGTTGTCAAAGTCAGGAAAAATAAGAATGAAAATGTTTGTTCAGGATGCAAAGACTGGTGTGTCCGAAGGAGTCGAAAGAAGAATCTCATGTAGGAACAAAGTGTCCAAGTGTCTTGAAAGGGGGTCTGCAACGGTCTTGATCAGCTCTTTGGAGTAGGTGGTAGAAGCGGTCTTCAGCAGCTGCGATAGGTAGAAGTCCAAGAAGCGTAGTAGTAGTTCAAGTGTCAAAGTCCAAGTGCTAGGGTGCGTCCTGTACACGAACTGCTATGAGGTCTGATCTGGAAGCAAGGAAGTCGCAGACTGATGCAAAGATCCATGTCACAAGTTGCTTCTCCAGTAAGTCCGCGAGTCGGGATGCCGACCAATGAAACAACATGGTGGCCAAACCAGTTGCGTAATCTCCATGAACAGTGAGGCAGCAGGCCATCGTCCTCGTGCGCTTGCCATTAGATCCTTTATCGCCGGCGTCATGCAAGTTCACAAGCATTGGACGAGAGAGACAAGGCAGTGGAGAGGTCAGATGGGACATGGCTAGGCGAGGGAAAGGCAGATCAGACATCAGGAATGAGGATCAAGGGAAGGGTGGTTCAAGGGTGTGTGTAGACCAGGGTTGCAAGGGTTTAGCGGGGGTTTATGCCATAGTGATATAGGTATCTAGGACGTAGGATTAGCACAATCATAGGCGCGGACAAGTTTCATGGCGTTCTTAAGATTAGAGAGAGGTTCCCATGTAAATTCTTCGTCGGGGTATCCGGTCCATTTGACTTTGTATTCAGTGATTGGTTCCGGATGATCAGATACTTGAGTGGTTCGTCGACCGATGATGGTTTTGACAACGAATTCAGGGCCTGTGGGTAGCATGATTGGTGGAGGTCTAGGATATGGGCGGTCGGCGAACTGGAGCGGGGATTCATGGTATTCTTTTAGGTACTCGACATGGAAAACTGGGTGGACACGACTCATGTCAGGGGGAAGTTGGAGTTTGTAGTTGACGGGGGAGGTTTGTTCAATGATGGGGAAGGGACCGAGTCGGGATCGGGTGGGGAGTTTGTGCGCGGGGGGGAGAAGATGGGATCGCTCGGGGGGAGATTGGGATCGGGGGGGAATCGTAGTCGGGGGGGATCGCGACGGCGGGAGAGGAGAAGAAGAAGAAAATTTTAAGAAGAAAAAAAAAAAAGGAGGAAGAAGAAAAAGGAAGAAGAAGAAACTGATGATGAAAAGAAGAAGAAGAAGAAGAAGAAGAAGAAGAAGAAAAGAAACGAGGAAGAAAAATAAGGAGGAGGAAAAAAAAAAAAAAAAAGTTGTCGTTGATTACTTATCTGCGCGACGGCGATGACAAGGACAGCGCGGCGAAGCGACGAGGACGACAGGCATGGTGGTGATGACGTGGCGTGACGGTGGCGATCCCGTCGGTGATGATGATGACGGGGCACAATGACGACGATCGCGATGATGACGATGATGATGTGGCACGGCGGGGACGATCTCGACGATGATGTTGATGATGGCCATGTGACGACGTCGAAGCAGGGTGGGTCGGGCGGGTTCGAACCGCTCCGATACCAGTGTAACGAGCGTGAGGCTGAGGGTGAGCTGACGGAGAGGAGAGAGAGGGAGAGAGTGAGAGCACACACACACACTCGCTCACTCGACACGACGGACTCGGACTGAGGATCGGACGCAGACACAGTGGCAAGGCACAAAGTCGAAGTCTTGGATTCCGAATGCCGAAACAGCAAGTCACACTGAGTACGAGTACAGCAGCAGAGAACTGGTACGAGACTAGTCCGTACCGAACGGGGAGCCGGTATAAGTACCGGTGACACGTACGGTACCAGGGACATTTCTGCAAAGGCCCGAGGGCAGAGCTGAAAAATGCAGTATTTGAAAGTGGCGCCCGAATTGCAGCATGGCGCCAGTTGTCCAAAATCCTACGGTACCAAAGGAGGGGTTTGGAAAAAAGGTGCCAGGCCGAAAACGGGATGCAACTGAAACAACAAAAAAATAGACCAGGGATCGAGCCCTGGCGGAGTCCGTAACAGTCTCGGTCTGTCCCTGTCCTGTAGCCCCGTCCGGTGTGCCAAAGTCTCGGCTCGTATCGTCTGTGTGCGAGTGCCAAGCCACTTAGAGTCTCGATCCGATCCAAAGCCCCGGCCCATTCCGAAGTCCCGGTCCGTTCTGACAGGTGCCCGAGTATGTCCCAAGGGCCCGATTCACGCCTGAGTATCCCTGCTTGTCTCGTAGAGCACGCGCGGTCTCCCGATTGTGTGCGCGCGCGCTCGCTGCTGCACGTAGTCCCCTGACAGTGCGCGCGATGTCGCACTTTTTTCCAGTCGGGCCACTTCAGGCGACCGGAATGCCAACAAGCTGTCACGCAGGATTTTGTTATTGATTCAACTTGATTGGAATAAATAAAATAAATTAAATAATGCAAATCCCTTCCTGTTTGGGGGCGTCCGGCTTCGAGCGAGACCCTTCAATTGCGGTCTTCGCCGGTCCCCGATCTTAAGAATCTTTTATTTTGATTCGGAACAACAGAGAATCATGCAAATAATAATCATAAAATTGTGGAGTGCTACGCATGTATCAATTATGTCAATCTGATTTTGAGAACTGTGACAGAATCATCCACGAAAGCAATCATCAAGCAAGAACAAAGCAAGGAGCAGGACCGACTGACTCTAGCAATGACAGAGTCAAATGAACGAGGGAGGAATGAGAACTCATAATAGTCTCAAGAAGTACATATGGGAGAGAGCATGGCCAGCACCAATCAAGAGTCCTCACTCATCCCTCTGAACTTCACACTCAATTTCTCATTTTTCTGTCTGTCGTCTGGGCTTCTTGCCATGTCTCCGCACTTTCTGAGTTTGTGGCCTCTGAATATAGAGCCACCTGAAGCCTGCCAGTTCCGAGCACTTCCATCCATGTCCCATGACGCGGAAGTCAACCATGGCACAAAACTCCTCACCACAACGTAGGAAGGTATGGCTGAGAGAAAATTCCCCGTCTGAGATGAGGGAATTCGGAAGGTTCGGTCACTGCCTCGTAGTTGAATGTTGCGGGCGAAACGTATCTCTTGGCCAGCTCCACCAGTGCACCCCAATAAGAGCCGTCAGTGGGGGTGAAGGGTACTAGAGGCTTGGGATAATCAAC